CACTCTCCCAAGTGAGCCACGGGCCAGCCCTGAAAATGGGAGATTTTCTAATTGTGTCACCCTACATTTAAAGGTAGCATTTTTCTGCAGAGAAGAGCTTTCCCTTCTTCCTGTCTCATTCTCTTTTAAAAAAATGATGTTGCTTTGGACTCATGAATTGTTTTTTAAAAATTCAGAATATTATAATACATTACTGTTTTAGTCCGTTTTGTGTTGCTATAACAGAAACACCTGCGACTGGGTAACTTATAAAGGAAAGAGGTTTATTTGGCTTACGATTCTGGAACAGCTGCATCTGGCGTGGGCCTCAGGCTTCTTCTACTCATGGCTGAAAGTGGCAGGGAGCCAGCGGGTACAAGCAGATCACATGGTGAGAGGAAGCAAGAGAGAGAGAGAGAGAGGAGGTGCCAGGGTCTTTTTAAGCAATGAGCTCTCACGGGAACTAATAAAGTGAGAACTCACTCCCCCTTCCCCCAGGGAGAGCATTAATCCATTCATGAGGGATCCGCCCCCATGACTCAATCAGTTTCCAACACTGCCACACTGGAGATCAAATTTCCACATGAGTTTTGGAGGGACAACACATCGAAAATCCGTCGATTACTATGTAGGTGATGTTGTTGTTATTACTTTTGATACTCTTAATTGTCCCAAATTTGGCTGGTGGTAGCCCCTTCAACCTGGTTCCTGTGTCCTTTTGACATGGCTGCCATTAATTGTTGAATACTTTCTTGTTTCTGGCATTACAAGAAGTTCCAGGCTAACCTTGACTTTCCTTGCCTTGGCTTGGGACCAGCCATATTGGGACCAAGAACTGAGGCTACTGGTGGTGGGGCATGGGTGGCAGCGAGAAATTGGTAAAGGGCCCCCAAAAATGATTACATTGTGTAGTGTTGAATGTACTAATTACCCTAATTTCAGCATCACTTATTGCACACAGGTGTTGATATTCAATGTAGTACCCCACGGATATATACAGTCATATTTTAATTAAAAAAAAATCCCAAGTTCCTATTGATACCTCCATTTCTAATCTAACACCACAAGGCTCTTTCTTACCTGTCCATATTCCATATTCTATCTCCCAGGTTCCCAACAGCATCAATGCAATTACATTTGCTGTCTCCTATAGTACACATGACAGAATCACCACAACAGCACCAACGGTAACAGTAAACCTGTTACAATTCAAGATTTCTTTCTGGTTATTTTTGTCCTTGAGGTATATCTTTTTAAAAATGTATTTATTTTTGTTTTGGTGGCTGGACAGTATAGGATCGAACCCTGAACCTTGATATTGTCCATGCCACTCTCCTGCATGAGGGTCTGTGCGGTGCTTTCCCCTCTGTCTGGAAGGCTGTCCTGCCCAGGCTAACTCCTCTTCAGTCTTCAGGTCTTCGCTTACTGGTTACATTTAATTTCCCAGGCTCCCCAGACCAGGCTAGATCACCTTGATATGTGCTGTGCCTGATTTCTGAGCAGCCATAATTCTCTTTTACATGACTCACTGCAGAGGTTATTGACTGTTTCATGCAAAGGGCAGGGACCACATCTGTCTTACTCATGCTCTGTCCTAGTGTCAGGCAGATAATAAGTCCTAATAAGTGAACAAATGACCAGAGGCAAAGGGCAGGAGGGAGGGGAGCCCAGCCTGTGACTGAGGCCAGGGCTCAGCCTGTGTTCAGGGTCAAGGAATAGAATTTCCTCTTTCAGAGGTCTCTGGTCCCTCAGGCCTTCTCTGTCTCTCAGCTTTCTCTGCATGAAGTTCCCTCTCAGGTTCCTTTCTCACCCTTTTTCTGAGGATAGACTTTGTGTCTTGAGACAAAAGTGGCTGGAAGGCTGTAGCTGGTGAAACAGTGGCTCTGTAGGGAGCTGCGTCCACTGGGTTTATCCTACTATGGGAGTGTGAGCTGGGTCCAGTCCCAGGTCCTGCCCCAGGGAGCTTGCAGCCCAGCTGGGGCTTAGAGAGGGACTGGGTTGGGTAGGGCACTGATCCTCATCCTTCTCTGGCTTTTCTTTCCTTCCAGATCAGGACAAAGAGGCGTGGGCAGGCCACTGGGCTCTGCTGGTGCCATCATGGCAGGTAAGGAGAGGGGTGGGCCATGTGGGTAGGGCATGAAAGTGAGCATAGCTGGGTGGCCCTCTTCCTTGTCCCCTTATCTCCTGTAGGCTTTGGAGGTCAGGTTTTTCTTGTCCTCGTGTCCCCAGGTTTTCCCTACTCTCTTCTCTCTCCCACTGAGGCCTTTCTAAGAACTTCAACATGACATTATCTAGCCGTCTGTCAGATCTCTGACTCTGGGGACCAGGGACTGAGCCTCTTGAAGTCCTTGTCTTCCTGTCCATCTGACGGATTAGCAGCATGGGTGGCTAAGCCTCCTTCCCCTCTGTTACCACTGCTTTCTAATACTCCGAGACCTTTTCCTTATGGTTTCTGAGCTGTCTGGTTTCTAAAGGCTCAGAGGTACAGAATGCCAGGGCTGGACACAACTTTACTGACCAGCTAGCCCAACTCCCACCCCACTGGATCTACTGAGGTCTCGAAAGGGGCAGTGACTTGCCCAGGAGCATGAATGTCGGCTTGAGGCTGGAACCCAGGTCTCCGGACTCTTCCCCCATCATGCTTCCTTTGCCTAGAACTGGCTCTCTGTTGAGGAGGGAGCCTCACCTTGATGGACAGCATTTATTGTTTTTTATTCTTCTGAGTGACACTGTCTCAGGGCCTTTGGTTACTTTGGGATCATCATGGTGGACTCAGGGAAGTAGGGATGGCTGGGGGGGGGATAGCATAGTGGCGAGTAGCTACAGGGGCTAAGGGGGCAGCCTAGCCAGGGAAAGAAGGGGTATATTGGATTGTTGGGGAGGAGAACATTTGAGGTGATGCCATGTGATGTGCCTCGCCCACAGAGAAAGTGAACAACTTCCCACCATTGCCCAAATTCATCCCTCTGAAGCCATGTTTCTACCAAGACTTCGAGGCAGACATTCCTCCCCAGCATCTCAGCATGACCAAGCGCCTCTACTACCTCTGGATATGTGAGTGCTGTGGGGAAGGGACTGGGCCTGTGTGGGTGGAGGAGGGAGGAAGATGGTAGGTGCTGGGCAGCTGGGTGAGGTGTCCCCAGGCCCGTCTGTCCTTCAGCCCTACTTGCAGCATCTACAGTAAGTCTTTCCCTGCCTGGCTCCAGCAGGCTCCTTTCATGGGCTGACTCCCTAGCTGGGCCTCAGTTTCCCTCATTCCCCCATCTAGGCCTCTCCTCCTTTCTCTCCCCCTGCATCTCCCTTTCACAGAGCATCTCGGTGGAGGTCTCTGCAGTGCAGGTCCTCTCTTCTTGCTTCCCTTTCCCCTTCCCACTGGAGTAGTTTTCCGAGGAACACCTGGTAATTGTCAGGACCTCAGGATTTTGGATTTGGAAAGGAATCCTTTCCTCAAAGCCTAATTTTTCTTGCTTTCTTTGGAATATTGCTCAAAGAGAAGAGCATCCAACTGGGCTTTGGGAAATATGGGATCAAGTTTGGCTGCTCCACTTTCCGAGCAGTAGGCTCCTCCTCCATAGAAAGAAGTGGTAGAAAATGGATGGCTCAGTAATGTAAGAGAAGAGCATCCAACTGGGCTTTGGGAAATATGGGATCAAGTTTGGCTGCTCCACTTTCTGAGCAGTAGGCTCCTCCTCCATAGAAAGAAGTGGTAGAAAATGGATGGCTCAGTAATGGCTGTGGTTCCATGTAGCTCTGTGTTGTGTGGTCTGTATTTCTTTCTTTCTTTTTTTTTTTTTAAAAGATGGCCGGCAAGGAGATCGTGACCCTTGACTTGGTGTTGTTAGCAGCACGCTCACCCAATGAGCAAACCGGCCATCCCTATATGGGATCCGAACCCGTGGCCTTGGTGTTATCAGCACCGCACTCTCCCGAGTGAGCCACAGGCCGGCCCCAGTGTGGTCTGTATTTCTAAGAGTCTAGAATTCTAATGTTCTAAGGTTTTGAGGTAGAGAGTTTAAAGGCCCCCATTTCTGATGGTCTGTGGCAAGTTGGTAGGAAAGTCCCATCTTCGGGGGATGGGACTTGGCTGTCCCTGGGCTGATCAGAAGGTACCTACCTTTTAGGCATGTGAAGGGAGGGCAGGCTGGCTGTCCTGTGCAGGGTACATGCCCCAGGGAGCCCCAGACACCTGAAGTGTGACCATAGTTGGGGTCTGCCACTTGTGACATTGCCTTGAGTCAGGACTACACTTAGCTGCGTACCTGTGCAGATGATTGTGTGTGCCAGGAAGGTGGTAAAGAATGCTGGTTTTGGGATGGCTGGTTAGTTCACTTGGTTAGAGCACAGTAATAACACCACGGTCAAGGATTCAGATCCCCATACCAGCCAGCCACCAAAAAAAAAACCCAGAATGCTGTCTTTGCAGCAGGCCCTTCACGGAATGGTAGAAAGTGGATGGAGCAGACAGACTATTTCAAGTCCTGGCTTGGCCTTTGGAGGGGAAAGAAGGGATCTCTTGCCATGGAACATGAGAGAAGGGGGAATGGGACAGGTGTGGGTAGGTCTGTAGATGTTGCGAAGAGAATGAGGAGATTTCCTCTCATGGCTTCCAGTTTTCCCATCAAATCTGATGTAGAAGTGGAGGTGGCAGCTTTGGGGAGGTGGGCTCACAATGAGAGCTTTTTTGTGGATGGAGGGTGAGGACACTCTCCAAAGAAAGTGGCCTCTAAGATTTCTGGGCCATGCCATTTGAGGATGGCTGCCATGAAATTATAGTCCTGCCAGGCTTGCTTATGGTGTCCCTTTTTTCCTAGAGATATTCAACTCAGGTACAGGTGGGAGTTATAGTCATCCAGGATGGATATGACCAGAAGACAGAACAGGGGAGGGAATAAGAAAACGAGTGTAATGAATGATGGAATCTAAGCTGGACAAGGAGAGGAGTAAAGATAGAAAAAAGCTTATGGCTAGAGAAAGAGTGGCTGACTCAGTGGATGTCCATTCCAAAGAGAGAGTAGACTAGAGCAAGTGGGCTGGAGAGAGGTGGGACTGGGAAGAGAGGTGCTAACCAATAGAATAATGGGTTAATGTCTTTTCTATGTAAAGAGCAAATAAAATCAGTAAGAACTCCAAGGCTCCAGGAGATCTTAGGGCAATGAATAGTAATAATGGAAATACAGCTGAAACATAGGAAGAAATGCCCACTGTCTTTTAGGGGCCCTGACTTGGATTTACCTACACAGATGACAGGGTTGTCAAGCCAGGCCAGACTTGGGAAGCATTCCACCTGACCCTGGGCTCTGGGAACTCCGACCCTGGGAAGATCTCATCCAGAAGCTGGATTTAAGGTCTATAAATATCTCCCTAAGTCCTCACTAGGTGCCTGCCAGGAGCTTTACTCCCAAGGAAATGTATATAGCCCTTGAGATGCTTAAGGTTTCTTTTCAGAAGACAGAACCACAGATGCCTGCCTGTTTGAGGCCAAGAATCAGCCCTTCTTCCTCTCTCTATTCAGCAGGGTTTTGTGGACGCAGCCTAATGTTCAAGGAAGGGAACACTTTCATGTCAGAAGACCTGGGTGTGTGTTAGTGCCAGCATCAGTTTATTTGTAAAATGAGGCATCTTTGAGGTCCCTGCTGGCTGTGACTCTGTGATACTGTGATTCCTAGGTTCAGTTAGATGATGTGGGGACAGAGGAGGAGGAGCCTGGGTCTTACTCTTGGGGAGTTTCTAGTCTGGTTGGTGGGTTGGGATTTATATTTGGGGAACCATGAGAGCAGCCCAGCTCTGCAGGTCAGAGGGATGGGAGAGAATAAGGCTGTGGTAGTGAAGGAAGGCTTCTTGGAGGAGGTAGCATGATAATTGTGTAAGAAATGGATTAGCTAAATACTGAGATCCCAGCCCCCACTGCCTGCCCTTAGTGCAGGGCAGATGGTAAATGGCATGAAGAGATGTTTCCACAAGTCTTTTTACTTTCCACTTTTCATGCCCCTACATTGCAAGAGAAGGTAGAAGGTGGGTTTCCTGTATCTTGGGCTTGGTGATTGCTGTGGGTCTGGGAGGGTGGGGGGCTGAGGCCATTCCTATAAAATGAGCATTTCTACCACCCTGAGACTTTGGGGCCCCTAAAAGGGACTTGCTGGGCAGAAGCTCTGGATTACTGCTCTGGAAACTATTCTCCAGGTTTCTCAGATCTCCAGGAGGGTGTGGGGAGGGGTGTTGGTCTGAGCTCCCAGCTTTCTTTCTTACAGTCTGTACTTCTTCTGTGTGTGTCTGTGTATCTCATGTGTCTCTGTGTGTATATTCATTGATATGGATTGTGGGTCTTCTGTATGGTATGAATCTATAAATGTGGCTTGCGTTGGTGTGTATGTATCTCTCTGCTTGTCTGTGCTACTGGCATGTGTTTGTGAATCTGTTGAGTTATGGGTGTGTGTGTGCGTGTGCATGTCTGGGTGCTCATGTATTTCTGTATGGGTCTGGGTGTGTGTGTGTGTCTGGTGTCTGTCTCTGTGTGTGCATGTGCTCCTGGGTCTGCAGTGAACAGCGTCACGCTGGCCGTGAACCTGGTGGGCTGTCTCGCGTGGCTGATCGGAGGTGGGGGAGCCACCAACTTTGGCCTCGCCTTTCTCTGGCTCATCCTCTTCACACCTTGCTCCTACGTCTGCTGGTTTCGGCCCATTTACAAGGCCTTCAAGTAAGTGGTTGGTGCTGACCCCAGCTCCTAGCCCTGTCTCTTTGCCCATCTCCCCTGCCTCTTCTCTACATCTTTTCTCTCTCTCTCTCTTTTTTTTTTTGCCATCCCCCAAACTCACTTTTCCTTATTTACCTTAGACTCAGACTGCCAGGTGGGGCTTGGGCTTCCTGGGAGCTCCTGGCTGGGATAAGAAGGCTGAGAGTTAGAACCCTCCTCTTGGTTCCTTCCCTCCTCAATCTACCCTTGGGTGGGGGCAACATAGAGACCAGGCCTATTTTTGTCTACTGCCATCACCTTTCCCAAGGCAGCTGCATGCTAAATTTTGCTTGTGGCACCACTTGTCTTGGTGGAGCTGCCCATCCTTGTACCAGTGGGGCTAGCTGATTTGGTGCCAAGAAGACCATCTATCCACGTGCTAATGGAACCAGCCATCCATGTACCATGACACTACTCATGTGCTAATGAGGTCATCTATTCTGTGTAAAGGAAGCACCCATCCATTTATCAGTGGGGCTAGCTGTCTTGGTACCAGTGGGTGTCCACCTAGTGCCAAATGGGGTTTTTTATCTTTGTGCCAATGGGACTATTCATCCATGTACCAATAAGGCTGTCTGTCTTGGTGCCGGTAGAGTATCCTTTTCAATGCTAATGGGGCCTTAAATTTCTTTACCAATCACAGCATCCATCTATGTGCCAATTAGCTACTGGCTTGGTGCCAGTATGATATCCATTCTAGTGCTGTTCTATTTCTGAGCCTGTGGGGACCATCCATCCATGTACCAGTGGGTGGTCCATTCATGAGGAGATTCCTTCCTGTGTAATGTTGCACCCATAGGCCTAACACATGGAGACTTTCAAAGACGTATGGATAAATGCTGTCCCATTCTGGCCTCTCAGTTAAGGCCTTTAAGTGTCTCTGTCCATTATGTATACACTTAAACTTGGAAGGGCTTGGGGGCCTTGAAGGCAGGGAAGCCCTGACCCTGTGCCCAAGTGATGGGATCCATCTCCTCTGCTGCAGGACTGACAGCTCCTTCAGCTTCATGGCATTCTTCTTCACCTTCATGGCCCAGATGGTCATCAGTATCATCCAGGCTGTGGGCATCCCAGGCTGGGGCGTCTGGTAAGAGGCAGGGGACTGGCCTGGGGCTGGTAGGGGTGGCACCTTGGGTGTGGCCTTTGCTTACCTCTGTGTGCTAAGCTGCCTTGCCTGTGAGGACACTGAGTGAATGGTTATTGGAAGAGTGAGAGGATTCAGGAGAATGTAGTAGCCACAGCCATAGCCTCAAAGGGGAAGGAGAACCTGGCAGTGGTTTCTGGGAGGCTGAGGGGTTCAAGCATTGTAGGAAAACCAGGGGAA